GAAGGAAGACGAAGCAAGTGGTGATATTAATTATTTGTTGCTTTTCTCAGGAGAAGTACCAGCAGGCAGCATCTGGAGAAAACACTTTCATTTACCGGTCCCTTACAAAAAGTCGACGAACAAAGGGAATATCATTTCTTTCGCTGCAGAAACAAAACACTGGATTTCTACAGGGTGTGCAATAGTTGTGTGAAGGAATAGAAGTGACGATATTTATAAGCTGCTTTCTCGAAGTAGGGAGATCGACGTCGATCTATAACGAGCTAGGCGCTGTGAGGAATGTAAGCTTGTTTGTCGGCGACCTTACTTCACAGGCGTTGTCTGCCGGATGCTGTAGGGGTTCTGTTGTTACTCTTAACAGCGTCTGAGCTCCCCCCCCCCGAACTCTGTGTCAATATTTACATATCTACGCCAGTTCCCTCATTTTAATGAAATTATTTTACCCTTAATTTATCACAGAACAAATCGCCCGTGTATTCATCAGAACTTTGTTTAACTTCGCCTCTTTTCTGTTGTATTTTTCTCCCATCTGCATTCCCGAGGATTTTTATATTGTAATTTTCCTACGTCGTTTATATTTTCGTTTGAAGACAAGAGCGAGGCATGTTCCTCTGCCGTCAGCGTAGTTTATGATGTCAGTATAGGCCCACATACTGTTAGGGTTAGTGAGTCCTTCTTGAAAAGCTTATAGTCGTATTTCTGACCAAGAAATCCCTTGCCTTCATTGAACCCGAAATTTAACGCAACTTTGACGTCATTCTTGAAGATGTTATCGCGGGAATTATTATGGATGACGAAATCGAGTATACGGCAGTGCCCAAAAGATTAACCTTTCAATGATGCCTCTTAGAGTATATTTTAGTTAGGCTATTACCTTTGCCTTATTTTTCTCGCTGTATCAGTAGCCGAGTACGGGCGGATAGACACTTGAAGCTCACCAAGTCGTGAGAGCTTTACTTCGGAACCCTGATGAACACTCCCTACACTTACAAATGTCAATGCTAGCGAGGACTGAGGAATTTGGCAGTATTAAACGTTGCACATACCTTGCATATACAAGGGCACACACAGTTTCTGTGGTCGCATCTCGGCAGTCTTTTGTTCGCGGAGCCCGTGAGATCAACGGGATTCAACATGTTTCACTGTACGAC